GGTATATAAGTAAAGGACTCTAAGTCAACACTACACTAACATACTTGTACATTCATGTTTACTGTTGCACAACAGCTAAGAAATGAACCAGCTTACATGTCCATCAATGATGAATATGAGGTAAATGTGCTAAGCACATATAATGGAATTTCATTCAGATATAAAGAATAATGAAATTATGAAATTTGCAGCAAAATGGATAGAACTGGATAATAAGGTTAAGGAAAAAAATAAAAAAATCTGAATAAAGAAAAAATAAACATTATATGTTTTCTCTCCTGTGCAGAATCTATTTTTAACGTATGTACGTATGTGTGTCTGTGTATTGATGCTTATCTCATAAAAGTAGAAAGATGAGTATGAGAGGTGAGGAAGGGATCTTATGGGAGGAGGGAAAAGAGAAGGTCATGGAATACATATCATATGAAGACAGATGGGTAACCACTTGTGGGAGGACATCACCAAGAGCAGGACAGACATGATGGGGAAGACAGAAAGGAACTGATGAAGGATAGAGCACATATAAAAGCATTACTTTTTATGTAAACAAAAAATTAACTATAAAGAACTAATTCACATCAAAGAATACTGAAAACTCTAAATAATTTGTAAATGCTAACTGTTATAGACTGCTATTCCTGTTTTTCTAGCCTCCCTTGGTTTCTGAGTGCATTCAGGTGTATGCACGTGTGCCTGCCTGTTTGTTTGTGCACTGCCTTGGTAAAGATGCCCATGGAGGCCAGAAGAGGGTGCTGGGACCCCTGGAACTAGAGTTAGAGTTGTGAGCTGTGTCACCTGGGTGCTGGGAACTAAACCTGGGTCCTCTGCAAGAGTAACAATTGCTCTTAGTCATGGAGTCATCCCTCCAGCATCCTCATCTCCATTTTGCTCACATGTTCTCAAGCAAGCACTGTGCTGGCAGCAAAGAAGAGCAAGCTTGGTATCGGAAGTCACATCAGCCACCAGCAATGGCAAGAAAGCACCAATATCATGGTTGGGAAGGGAAAGACGATTTCAGGCCTGAGCCAGCCCAGCCCTTGCTTGCTGTGAGCTCTGGTCTCTGCCTTTTCAGTCATCACCTTGCCGAGATCCTTGCATGAATTAATTACTCACATCACCTCATGAATGATATCAGTAAACTCAGTGCTCTTCCCATCACCTCAAAAGTCACATTCATTTGTTGCTCACCCAGGAAGAGGTGGTGGGGTCTTCTGTCTAGGACAGCTTAGTTTGTGGGTCAGCAGTTACAAAGAGTTCTTTAAAGAGCCCCCAATGAGAGGATTATGCTCTGATTTAGTTGAGTGATCTCTCTAGGAACCTAGTGTTTCCCTTTGCCAAGCACTGGGCAGAAGTCCTAGAAGGTTCTAAAGCTTAGCCTTGGGTCAGAACTTCTCTCCTGCTGGCCTTCATCTGTGGCCTCACTCCCCCATTATCCCATTTTTCATGCCTGTGCCAAGCGTGGCCGCCTCTTACACACACTCCCATTTCCCTTGCCAGTGCTATCCCTGGCCTCACTACATACATCCACATTTTCCATGACTGTTCTATCCATGGTCTCCTAACTGCACGCACTCACACAGGTCATATTGTTGCTATCCATGGCCTCCTCACTACACACTCATATAGCCCATGCCCATGCTATCCATGACCCCACTACATCCATCCATCCACATTCTCCACCCATGCTATCCATAGCCTCCTCACTCCACACTCACATTTACCAGGCCTGTGCTATCTGTGAACTTCTCATTATACGCACTCACATACAGAGTGGCAAGGGACAAATGAAGCATCAAATAAGCTGTTTGGAAAATATTTTACCATGAAGCCCAAGAGCTAACTTCCATTTTATTTTAAAGAACATTTGAATATCTGACACATCACTTTACTTCCCCATTTTCACCGAAAGAAAGGGTATTTTTTTCATGATAATTCCTAACACTGTTGTAGCAATTACCATATTTTCCCCATAGTGGAAAGAGAATCATGACTATGTATTTATTTGTGTACTAATAGTAAAACTATTGTAATAGTAATATAGTGAGAGAAATATAGGCCTCAGAGAAGCTTAGATGCGAAGTACTAGGAAAACGGAGATATGGAAAGTTCACGGTGGAGGTGTCTAGAGTTGTCAGGGACAGAAGCAACAGTGACCCCAAAGGCAGATAAGAACCAAGAATGACAGAGGTCCAACCATTCTGGAAATCAAGATGATTTTTCCTAAATATTGAAGATGTAATCTAAGATGCTCTTGCTTAAAACTGAATTCTAAATTTAAAACTATATAAGCATATTTAACTTTGGAAATTCCCATAGAAACATTCAGTATGGTAACAACCACATCCTAAGTATCATTTTGAAACACTATTCTTTCATTTTAGTTTATAATAACTCTCTAAGCCTTAAATAATCAACAAGCAAGGAAATATCACGCATTTGCATAACAGCACATAATAAACTTTGAATGCATCAGAATTCTACATTTTCATTTTGAAGTTACAATCACACTACAAACTGATGTTACAGCTTTTTACTCCTCTAGCAAAAGAAGGAGAAAGAATTGACAAAGTTTGTCAATATTGGATGAGGGTCTGGTTTTTCCAATATTGATATGTGTCAAAGGACCATGCGGGATTTCGTCTTCTTTGTTTTTTCTTTCCAGATAAGTATGCACAGTCAATTAATGCAGCTCCCGAGGACCCATGTGAAGACTGGGTTGAGGAGAGAAAAAGAGCAGTGTCCATGCTACACTGCATCTGCCCAGAGTCACTTCCTGGGGTTTGAGTTAAACAGTTAGAACCTATTCATCGATTCTCTAATAAGGCAAACAGACCAGACGTGCTGCCAGTCAAGACATCACAAATAGCCTGGAATGTCAGCCCTTCCTACTGAGACAGCACTTTTCATCTGGGTAAAAATATATCAAGTTTCTAAAAGAGAAATGCAGGTTGCCTGTCAGTATACTTCCTCACGCTGGCAGCACAGAGAAGATAACAGGTCACCAGTGGCTTGAAAGGTTTTGGAATGCTGCATTTTATCCACCTTTAAGCTACCATACTAAAGTGTGGCTTCTAATTTTATTTTCTACCATTTCACTTTTTCCTTTATAAAAAAAAATGCTTTTACAGATTAAGCTGTATTACATAAATCAAACACATTTTAAGGGTCAATGCCAAGAAAAAAAAATGCAACTTAATAAAAATAAAAGATTGGCCATGGTATAAATGTCACAAAGTTTCATTGTATTGGCACAGGAGAAAGAATAGGATTTTAGTGTGTATTTGTTTGAAAATGTGAAAGATTATGTACCTGGTTCACCTACCTAACCAAAGAAATTTGAAACCTTCTGGAAGTTTAAGGAATTGAAGGTTTTTGTTTTAGTTATTTTAGTGTAAGAATGCCCCTTTAGTTAAAACATTTATTTAAAACAGAAATAAAATTTAAATCGTGAGGACCAGTAGAGGGCTTTTTTTTTTTTTTTTTTTTTTTTTTTTTTATTGCAGATGGTTGTGAGCTACCATGTGGTTGTTGGGAATTGAACTCAGGACCTCTGGAAGAGCAGCCAGTGTTCTTAATCTCTGAGCCATCTCTCCAGCTCCCTTTATTAGGTAAGTGTGGCAGGTGAAATAAACAAAATAAACAAATGATACATTACTTTGTTTCCTGGGGAACTATTTTTTCATTACATGGTTACTCATAGCTTCTCATCATGATAGTCAATAGCAACAAACAACTGATTTTGTAACAGGTGAGACTTTGTCTTATCCTCAGTGGTCTCATACAGACCTAAAGAACGAAGAGGAGACCATGATGTGCTAGCTGATTTTCTCATTGCTGTTTCCACACACCTAACAAGGAACAACTTAAGAGGGAATGGGTCTGTTATGGCTCACAGTTTTAAGTGACACAGTCTGCCATCCAAGACAAGGCACAGTGGTGGGTCACTTCATGGTGACAAAGTGGGCAGTTGGAACCCTTTACCTTCTTACATCGTGTCAGAACAGGAAGTAAAGAGCAGATAGGAAGTGAACAGGATATAAAGCCTCAAGGTCTTCCTCCAGTGACCAACATCTCCAGGTAGGCTTTACCTCCTAAAAAGTTCTACAGCTTCCCAAAGCAGTGAAACCAGCTGGGAACTAAACGTTAAAACACATACCTTTGTAGGGTATATTTCACATTCAAACCACAGTATACCAAACCAATTTTTGTTCATTTACCTGTAATGTTGGGAGTTTAACATATGACCTCGCAGTAACCAAGCAAGTGCTTTAGAGACTGACCCTAGCCCTTGTATTCTTTCTTGTTTTAGTTTGTATGAGATAAGGTCTTGCTGTGTTGCCCAGGCTGGTAATGTGTATCCCTGGCAAGCACTGAACTTGCCAACCCCTTGCCACCACTTTTCAAGTAACCTACCCTGGGAGGTTCAGCCTAGATTTTAAAATGACCACTTCTAGAGAGAAACTGCAAAGAGCCAAAGTTAGTTACAGTTCTCAGAGGCTTACATCCTTAGCTTTGGTGGCACCATGAAAGATATAGTCCTCCCCTAACTCGGCTTCATCTTCCTTGAGAGCGAAGGGACATTCTGATAGAGAACTAACTTCTGTATATGCTGTTTCCTCTCTCTTGTCTAATGACTATCATCTTGATTTCTATATCCTTGGGTGTTAGTTCTTTCAGCACAAACTGTGTATTCCACCTTGGGCTCTTCTCTGCTACATAATAATGCATTTATTTACACAACTTGTGTTCCTACCATATTAAGAATTGCTAGAATAGTTTTGGGTATCTTTGTATTCTCAGTACAAGACAGTCTCTGGCTTATAGTTGATGACTGAAATTGTTCTGTGAATGAACAATGCAGCCAATATTTTAAAAAATGAACCATCATGGATAAATACAATCTGTATTTAAACTGTACATTGAGAAATGAATATTATTTTAAAGAAAATATCTTTCAAGGAAGATATTGTTCTGGAGGGTAATCATCGACACTTCCTTACTTTCTTTGTTTTACCCATTGCCTTCAGGATGGAGAGATTTAGGTCTTCAAGCGCAGCCAGTACATTCTCATATTCACCCAAGTGCTGAGAAAAATATTCTGGAAAGTAAAAGAATTAAAATCAACTTATGTTTGAATCTAGATAATCATAAGACAAAAATTTCAATTGATAACTTACTTCATAAATCAACAAGCAAAATGTTGGCTATAAATGAAAACTTGGAAGTCTTTCAAATGAGACTAAGGTAACAGTATACTAATTTCACTAGAAAAGTAAAACAGAAAAAGAAAAACAGCCTAGCTGATTATAATTATCCACAAACATGTTCTTTCTTACAAAAAAGAAAACATGATATTTTCTAAACAAGATATTATTATAGCTCACAATAGGTTAGCAATTTGGGAAAAATGTAAAATGTTATTGTTTCTTCTAGGAAACACTTAGTAAGGGTTGTTTTCCCTCAAAGTTTGATTCTGCAAATCACAAGGGAAGTCCTGTTGTGGTTCTACTTGTGGATACATTTTTGTCAGGACTTGTTTTTAATATTTCAGCCATTTATTTCTCTGGATCAAAAGTCATGCTTATCATATTTTTCCATTACTAGGAATAAGTAATGCCTCAAAAATTATGATTAAGATGAAAACATGGTACACAAAATAATTTCAAATAGGTTGAAATATAATACACATAAAAGAAACCATTATTGACAGAACTCTATTTCTAAAATAAGAAACATCCAATCTTAACAAACATTCATATATTAGAAAAAGGAGAATTTTCAGGTGCTACATACTGGAAAACGAATAGCCCTTATCATTACTGTTAACTGCCTATTGACAAACTACTATTTACTATTACATTTCTGTAATGAATTATATTTTACAATTACATCAAAATAATATAAACTCATATGCAGACTTAATTCTGGGGTACCCTGTAATGTGTTTGATTAAAAACTGTTTTTGTTAGCCTAGTACTCCAGGTAGAACATATGTGGACATTGGTATTAACAAAAGTGGAGTCTGGAGATGTGAATCAGTTGGCTAGTGTGCTTGTTCAACATGCACAAATCCCTGGTTTCCACTCAATACCACATAAGCTGTGTGCAGCGGTGCATGTCTGTACTCCCAGCACTCAGGAGCTGGAAAGAGTAGGATCAGATAGTCAAGGTCATCCCCAGGTACATGCAGAGTTCAAGTTCTGCCTTTGATGACAGAAGAATTCATTTTCTATTTAAAGAGCCTACCATAGAACTATTTTATTAATTCTGGAGTCCAGCGATGGCTTGGACCAAGTTGGTGGTGATGAAAATGGGAAGACCCAATCAGATTGTTGATAAACTTTGATACATATTATTTTAAATATAAATATATGAAAAGTAATTCTGGACTTATGTGTACATGTAAAGTAAAATATATCTTTCTGTATTTTTTGCAGGCATATATTTCAGGAAGCTAGAGAAATATGGAGAACTCATTGTGATAAAGGCCCATTAGACTTTAGATTATTCAAACTGAAAGGAAGAAAACAATGAGGCCAGGTGATGTGAACGCCGATGTTGAAATTGTACACACATCAACTAGAGGTGCTAACAGAAAGAAGTGAAAATTATCTAATATGTAGAAAATGGGAAAAGTTAATCTGAGTGAAGTAATTTGATTTGAGAGACTTTTGACCTCCAGAGGAAAAACACTAAATGGAAATGCAGCGATGGCACTAGAAGGTCGGGTGAGATTTGTGACTGGGCTTCCAGACAGTCTTCGCCCCAGACCAGAGCTAATTCACTAATGAACAAAGCCGCATGAAGTGTTTTACAACGTGAAAGTGAGGAGGCTCATGGAGCTTTCCTCCCCGGCTTTGTATTGAGAAATAGCCAAGTTCTGTAGAAGATTCTTTATTACTAACAACACAAAATGTCATATGTGTTTACTGGCTTCTTATGTTTTGTATTGAATTTTCAAATTGAGATCTCTGGTATTTTGGCTGAAAACAAAACAAAAGGAACAAAGATGGGGCTGTGGGTAGAGCTTAATTGTTAGAGTGATTATTTTGTCTTCATGATGGTCCAGGTTAGATACACACAGGCACACACGCACGCACACACAGTCTCTCTCTCTCTCTCTCTCCCTCTCTCACACACACAGTCTCTCTCTCTCTCTCTCTCTCACACACACACACACACACACTCACACACATAGTCTCTCTCTCACACACACAGTCTCTCTCTCTCTCACACACACACACACTCACACACATAGTCTCTCTCACACACACAGTCTCTCTCTCACACACACAGTCTCTCTCTCTCTCTCACACACACAGTCTCTCTCTCTCACACACACACTCACACACAGTCTCTCTCTACACACACACATTCACACAGTCTCTCTCTCACACACACACAGTCTCTCTCTCTCACACACAGTCTCTCTCTCTCACACACAGTCTCTCACACACACACAGTCTCTCTCTCTCACACACACACACACTCACACAGAGTCTCTCTCTCTCTCACACACACACACTCACATAGTCTCTCTCTCTCTACACACACACATTCACACAGACTCTCTCTCTCTCTCACACACACTCACACACACTTACACACAGCCCAGGAGTTTTCATAAAATAAAAGGCCACTCTTTCCCCCCACTCACTTCTTTCTTTATTGTTTTAAGAACTTCATGCATACACTGAATCTATATCACTCTCTTCAACTCCTCCTGTATCCCACCCCCCACTCTCTTCAAGTTTTTTTTAACCTCTTCTAAATTATTACTGTTACACATACACATATGTAGCATATTGAGTCCATTTAGCATTTCTTATGTGCACATATGTCCAGAGCTGACCTTTCAAAATGAAAATATCTTTCATAGTCAAGACGTTTAGCTTAGCCAGAAAAATGTGATGAAGGGAAATTCAGTTTTCTTTCCGCTTTTAAATCATTCATGCTAGCACATGCATGCAGAGGCCAGTCCAGCATGTGACAAAACTATGTCTGGAGGCTTTAGATTGGAACCTCCAGGGTTTCCCTCATTTCCCTACTTCCTCATTAATGCATTTGTTCATCTCAAGTCCACACATAGAGAGGGAGTGGCCACACGGTAAGTGATATACTAGCTAGCAATGACTGCAATTCTGAGAATTGGGGACTAACTACAATGCCATCCCTGGCCGACAGCTTGTGGGAAGCTAAGCAAGGCGTTGAAGCTTGTGTCCTAGGATTGTTGGTGAGAGAGGAAGCAGACAAGCAGTAAGCATCCCTTGTTTAATAGTCTACCTTTTAGCCTCAAGTTTAGGTTGGTGTTCTTGAATGTCTTTGTCAGAGTCCTCTAGAGCCTCGCTGGTTTTTCTTCTCTGTGGACCAGTAGTTGGAACTTGTTAAAACACATCAGCTCAGGCCCATGAGCCTGCTCATTTACACATGTGCTTTAGTAAGACACTAGGTGATTTATGGATAATTTAAGTTTGGGATGCATAAATCTAGGGAACTTGCTGCAAATTCAGATTAGTATTAAAGTTTCATCTGCTAAATCAGAATCTTTGCGTTAAAGCCCTGAAATTGACATTTCCTACAGATTCTATAAAGGTTGGCATGAAAATTAAACTTAAGATACCTATGTGAAACAGGTAGGTGAAACATTTTGAAAAGAAGAGTAATATCTTGCAGTTTTCCTCATTGACTTTACCTGGAAGGGATGTACATGATCAGGGGCTGATGTGAAGTTGTCAAGAGCCAAGGCCAATAATAATTGTCGGGAGGGATTTCCTCATAGACTAAGGACCATGAATGAGGCCAAGGTGTGGAGTAAAGCAGGGTTAAGGAGGAAATGGCTGAGCTTGGGGTAATGTCGTCATATTCTTGTCACTATAATTTATATTTATTAATTAAATCACAATGTCAGTATGATCTAGGAAATGGATTTTTGCTAATAAATCATGGCATTGAAGAAAAATAAAGATTTGGAGCAGATATTGGTCCCTTGAAACTCTTGTCGGTGAGTGGTAAGAATTACTCTCTGGAGAAAATAAGAATAACTTTTAGTGAAATACACAAATGAATTCCATCGGTTTAGGGAAAAACAGTCATACAGAATTTGTAGGAAACATTTATGGAAATCAGATGTCAATGACTTTTGAAAAGTAGTCTTGACACTGGATGTAATGGAAGAATAGAATTCAGTTCATAAACAGATACATTTAGCACACCACCTTCCAGAAAGCAAGTTGTCTTCTTGTACATATTTACCACACCTTCACTAATAAAATGCTAACAAAGGGCTGTTTTCTCCTTTCCCCAATGTACAGAATCAGTAGTACTGGATTGGGATTGTATTCTGCAGTTCAGTCTTCCAAGCAGAATTTCCAGGTCTGGCTTAAGGAGACCAAGTCAGAACAAAAGGACCCACAGCTACTGAGTCAGAGTAGGAAATGGTCTTGGAAAGCATTCTCATGAGTCTAAAGGACCTTCCAGCACATGTACCTTGCTAGCACCTTGTAATTGAGGTAGAAAATGAACTAAGTGAAATGAGAGACTGGGCTCTATACTCTGTAACCTGAAGAACACAATAACATAGAAGTTTCCATAAAGATTATTCTGAGGGGGTTGGTAAATTTGGGTGATCAGCCCAGGAAAAACCTTAACAGAAAAATGCACCTTGAAGAACTAAACATTATCGAAATTCTCTTGTCCATCAGCCTTCTCATTTTCACATTGTAAAACACTTCACTGGGTTTTGTTCATTAGTGAATTAGCTCTGTTCTGGGGGAAAGACTTTCTGGAAGCCGAGTCACAAATCTCACCCCACCTTCTGGTGCCATCGCTGTATTTCCATCTCCATGGTACCATCCACATTCACCAACGCTGCTTCAGCTTACATACTCAGATGATAAAATGCTACTAACTGAAATATTATTTATATATTAATCTCATGAGTTAGATTGCAAAGATATTTTAAAGTCATATTTTAATAGATTTTGAGTTTAGGTACCTATTTGAATTAATTGATGAATTAAGCGAAAGCTTAATGAAGCTAAGAGATGTAAGCCTAGCATCTATAATTGGTTTCTAGGAGGAAGTGCATGCAATCTCTGTTCTATGTCAATCAAACCCCACCCCTCCAACGCCTACAGGGAACTTGTATGAGATGTGACTCCACATATTTCTCTTGCTGGCACTGAAGCCTTGGCTTTGATTAAAATCCAACTTAAATATTTATTTTATATTCAAAATATGATATGAAAGGAAGCTTCAATCTAGAAACAAAAAATGCATATTTTACAGCAGGAAAGAGGATTATAACAAGATAGTGAATGTGACCACTGGATTTTTAAAATCTAAAGACATTCCTTGCTAAGCAATCACTTTCGTTGCTAAGACTATGGGGAAGGCAGAAGTAGGTGACTAATAAAGTTTCATTATTATGGGGAAAGGCAAACAAAAATTCTGTGTGGATGGTTGAGTGAAGACTCACAGTTATGCTTTAAAATTTAGTAGTTTTAGAAGACAGATTTATAAGATACTCCTGAAGGACACACAGACAACAGAGTTAACAGACAATAGCCACGAAATGTTTAATTGTCTTAAAGATAGTAATAAGTTATTTTTCAATCAGCTCTTCTTACCCCGGCAAAGGTAGATGTATATAAAATGAATTTTCTGAACAATTGGAGGGAATTGCTAATTTGGCCCTCCATACCTAGACATCTGGGGAAAAAAACGTCTCCAGCTGCATGAAATAAACAGGGTGTTGCCTTAGTTCTTCCCATTACCTTGCCGTTCACTGGCAGGGGTTGTGTGTCCCTGAGAATGGACTACAATTTGACCTCTGTGGGCTTTGCTGTTCACTGCCCATTTTGGTGTCATGGTCTAGGTGAACTCTTTTGCCTGTTTGACACAGTAATTGTTATGTATAACTGAAGCTACCCATGACTGTGTGTGAAGGCATGGCAGGGTTCCCCCAGAACCCCCAAACCCCATCCACTATGACTCCAAGAATGCCTTGCTCCTGCACCAGATCTTGTTTCCTCAGTGGGATTCCTGTCTCCGAACCAGGAGGAATATTGTGCAGGTATTATGCAGGGAGCCTAGAACTTAATGGCCACTGGAACATTTGAAAGCTCCTGTTCAGCATTTGTTTGGTTCTGTTACTGCCCCTGAAACTGCTCTAATGACATTCTGGTGACATCTCACAGGGCTGATCTGCCAGATTGCTGAAAGGTTACCAACCTCTAATGACAGAAAATGTCCGTTTAGATTATTATGGAGAGCTCTAAAACTGTAAAACAGCCACAGTATCTAGGAAACATTTGTGATTTCAATGAGGAGTCTTGGAAAACCTTTCTTCTAGCTATAGGAATGTTTCAGGCTGCCTAGAGCATAAAATCATACTTGAGCAAAGTGCTATTTGACACATTCATCTTAAAATGAACAATATAAAATTTTCCCATATGCAGAGAAATGCATATCTGTTTCAAGTCTAGTGGTTTCATAATGTTCTGTTTCATAACAAAGAATAAATTTCGGATTATTTACTTTTTCACATTTTTAATCTCTGACCCCTGTTACTGTCACGAAGACAACAGGAATAAATGAAGTAGCTGGTAGACTAGGCATTTCGAAATATCTCTCTCCAGACTGGTACATTTTTCAAAAAGGCATTTAAGTTTATAGAATAATTGCACAGATATGGAACCAAGCTATTTTTATATTTAAATGATACAGCTTTGGAAAGGGTGCATGATGATTATGAAGCAAATGGAGAAGCTGCATTAGGCTCCTAAAGAATTTGTTTCTGTAAAACCATTGCACAATCCCAGCTCTCTTTTTATTAGCAGTTTAACTAAGCCCAACTGTTTAAGTAACATAAACATTGCTGCAAAATGCAAGGATAAGAAAACTCTGACCACTCTGCCCAATGGTTTGCTTCATTTCCAGACTTTTAACTCCAACCTCACACTCTCTCTTTTCTGAGTCAAATTAACAACATTTCGGTTGGTCTTAAAGATACTCACCACACAGTTCTTCTGTGTCAAGATTGCTGTAAAGAGATAAAGAAAGATGTTATATCTTTGACAATTTTTTTTCATATATTTTTTTTTGTTCCAGGGCTGAAGACTGATAAATTCAAAATACTGAGATAAAATGTTAATAAATATAGTACATTACTATCAGAAGAATAATGCTATGCTCATGGACCAAGGACCCTGTGGTACAGAAATGAAAAGATACTTCAATATTAGTCAATTACCTCACATGTTACACAAATGGTATTCCATAGTTACACCCATAGCCCTTCATTTACGTTTCTAAACAGTTAAATACAGTTATTTTCCATTCAAACATAACTGTTTGGTAAATATAGGTGGTTAGGATAGTTCTCTTAGCCATTCTACATTGTTGAGTACTTACACATTATTAACAGTGACTACCTCTGAGTCCGTCTTGAACAAATAATTCTGTATTTGTGCTTTTTTTTTCAACATAGTAAAAAAATAATACACAATAGCAAAGAACATGAGCTCTGGGGCCAGAATGCTTGAGCCCAATCTTAACTCCACAACTTACTGTCTTGTGATCTGGGACACTTCACCTCCATGAGTCTTTGTGTCTCTGTATCAAAATGCTGTTTCAGTGTTTCAGTGGATTGGTGTGCATAGAGAACTTGGGGTCAGTGGTGCAAAGTGGTCATTTAATAAAAGCACCACAACTGCTGACTTAACAGAACCAGAGCCAATATACCTTTGAGACAAGCTTGGGTCAATGCTTATTTCAAGCGATCTCTAAGAGGCTCAAAATTCAGATGTAAACAATAGAAAACCCTTATCATTATGAAGGTAAATACAAAGTACTTGCATTGAATGCTAATAAATATAATATGGTTATTATTAGAGTAATACATGGCTATGAGCCAAGGAAGGTGTGATACAAGAATGAAAATATACTTCAGTATTAGTTAATAAACCATAACTGATTACATTATGGGGGAAGAGAGAAGCATAAAATGTTGTCAATGGTAAATAAGAATTTGGCTTTATATGAATCTCTTAGAATACAACTTGTATCCTAGTTCCTCTGGTGATGTGACATGTAAAATAATAATAATAATAAAAAAAAAAAACGCTTTGACTCCAAAATTTAAGTTGAAGAACAAGTTACTGGGGAAAAGTATTTCTATTTTTGTTTCCACAGAAAATGAAAAGATGTGGATTCCTTCCAGACTAATGTGGTTTGATCACACCAGACCGCCTGAAACAGAGTACAAGCTGATCCTACATTCCAAACAGCTGGACAAAACAGCCCTACAGACTACAGCTAGGATATCTGAATCTTCTTCGAATCCCCCAAGACAGCGCCCCTTACCAGCAGGAAGTAGTTTGGAAAGAACGACGCCCAAATTCCCAAATATTGTGTATAAATGTTTGTTTTCATTTAATTGGACTTTGTTATATAAAATTAAATAAAAAAAAGAATTTGGCAATATTTTAATTATAACTCATAGTTTTAAAAATTAAAATATAAGGACTAGAGAGAGACATGCCTCTTAAAGGTCTGAAGTATATGAGGATCAACTAGGAATATGAGTTTGAAAACTCTTAGAATATGCATTTGTCACATGTCAAAGTTCAAGTAAGCCTTCATAGACAAATCTTCCTTTAAGGTACAGGAAGGGTTGCCAGACAGAAGGGACACTATCATAGCATTCCATCACCAGTCCCATCATTCTTCATTATGTAATTAGCTCAAGATTTCATCGTATGACACCATATATTCTATCTTGTATTTGAATATGTTGTTTCTTCAGTGCATGGTTTTGTAAATAGATTTGCCACCAGACAGAATATGTAAAGTCTCTTGTGTTAGTTTTTGTGGGGGCCCCTCATTATTCATTTGTCTATTCCACAGACATGTATTCTAACTGCCATTGGCACCTGAGGCTGCAACAGACATCAAAATAAATATGTTATATTTCTAGTTTCTTGGAGCTTAGTTCAAAAGTAGACTCAGAGGCCAGATGTGGCAGGGTACCTCTTTAATCCCAGCACTCAGGAGGGATAAGCAGGCAGCTCTCTGTGCATTTAAGGCCAGCCTGGTATACATAGAGTTCTAGGACAGTCAGAGCTATGTAGTGAGTCCGTGTTTCAAACACACACACACACACACACACACACACACACACACACACACAGAGGTAGACTCATAGCAAATAAATAAATTACAATAAATCATTTGATGTGGGGGAACTGGAGAACTTTTCTGAGGTCTCAGAGTGTGTCTCAGGATAATACACTGAAGCTAAAGTTTGAAGGTTAAGTATGAGCAGAAAAAGTAGATGAGCAAGGGATATTCTCATTAAAAAAATAATTTTAAACATGTGACTAGGAATTCATTTAACTTCAAGGACCTAAGCAATTTCTTTGACTGAAATGTAGGTCATGAGTAGGAAAATGGGGCTGAACAACCACAAGGCCTGACTTAACAGTGTAAGAAGTTCCTCCTTGTTTTCTTATCACTTTGGAATCACAGGAAAACCTAAAGGTGAGTAGCTTGACTAGCTTATATTGAGAAGTCAGTTCAATTAGGTAGTGGTAGAAGAAAAGCAAAGTGTAGAGTCCTATTTGCAGGTTCCTAAAGTAGCTAGTGCTCACTGATCTGGGTGGAGCATACAACTCAGTGTGTATGCGGCCTCATTCACGGGGTAGGACAAGAGGGTATCTTTGTATGCACACTGAGTCCTAACCTTTACTTTCTTTTTGTATATACTTATATACATATAAATAAGTATGTCTATAAATCTGTACATAGTTTATAATCTAGTAATGCAGTGTTCTTTAAGATGTTTCACTATACCACTCTCCAGGACTCAACTTTCACTATATTAACTCATAAGACAGGATGGTCAGGATCAGTCCTGTCCACTGCTGATAGAGAGAGATGAAGATATGGGCTGGAAAAAAAACCAATACTTGTAGAAGGTTTTGAGGAGAAACAAATAAAAGACTTTAAAACATACAGGATTCAGGGTTTGGTAGCTTAGGCATTTTGTAGTTTCACTGTAAGATATAAAGTTTATTTTTTTCTAAGTCTTACTGTTTTTACAGAGCTTCAGACTTGAAAGGGACATTAAAGGGCACTGGTTTTGTGCTTTTTCATCAATGGTTCACCAGTTCATAATGAGATTTATTTTGAGTTTTCAAAAAGAATAAACAGTTCCACTCTATTACTGAAAATTAAATGACTTGGAATACAGCATGACATAGAATAGCTAGGGAATAATGAACACAGGAGCCTGCTGTTTGCGACTACAAAGCGATGCTTGTCAAGTGCTGCAGTGTTTGTGTCCCCGATGTGCCTGTATTCAGTTGTTTCTGTGCCATGCAGTTAGCGGTGGGTAGGAAGCCATGGCTCTCTTTACAGCAGGCTTACATGGATAAATTGTAGTAGGACTTGCATTACACTGTGATCTATTCCATCCTGCAGTAATGCAAGATTTTAGAGGATACATGAGATACAGAAGAGCCCAGAAGATTTTCCTTCTTCTTTCCATTTAACAGCAAAAAGGTCAACGGTATTTTACCAATGCCTTCATATTAAAACGAAGGAGAGAGATGCCTAGGGGAAGGGAAAGAAAGCCAATGAAAATAGTGAATACTGGTAAAGAGTTCACATTCCCACAGACACAGAACAAGAGGAGTTTTAGTAGAAGAATCCTCCCTCCTCTTGCTGCTGGGAAGGGGTAGAAACCAAACACAAAACTAGTCATAAACACCTGATTGGCAATGATGAAAATAAAGACCAAGAAAACAAATGTGCAGTAGATGAATAGCTACATGGATTGTGTGTTATCATAACAGAAGAGTTCTCAATATATTGAAAAATACACACACACACACTATATATATATATATATATATATATATATATATGATAGGAGTTGTCCTTCTGTATATATGTTTCTCTTATTGGTTAATGAATAAAACACTGTTTGGAGAATGAGGCAGGAAAATAGGCTGGTCTAAGAGACAAGGAGAATTTTGGAAAAGGTAGGCAGAGTGGGCCCGTCACACAGATTCTCTATGCTGCTGAAGGAGTAACAACATGCTGTGGCATTACTGGGTAAGCCACAGTCCCATGGCAATACATAGATTGATAGAAATTGGTAATAATTAAGACAGAGCTAGCCAATAAGAAACCCTAAGCACTGGGCAACAGTTTATAATTAATATAGCATTTCTGTGTGTTTATTTGGGACTAAAGTGGGCAAGGTGGGATAAGAATTTTCTCATATATATATACATATATATGAGCATATATATATTCAAAAATTATACAAATATCAAATCAGAAGTAAATTAGCTAAATACATACACATTGGTCAAAATCATTTTGAAAGGTTTGGAAGAAGTGAATGAATATGGCAGTAGTGAGCCCACACTGATCCTGGGTGGTAGGATTTCAGGAAGATTTGATTCTTCTGTTATACTTTTCTAAAATATTGTTGTCTATAATCATTACATTTCCCCTTTAGTGGAAATAATGAATTTTGTAGTTGTACTAAAAGAAACTAGGAAAAGTAAGGTATTAAGGTCAACAGTTGAGGTTCATAGCTTCTCTGCACATACTATGCAACTGCCTATGAGTTGGCTTAGTAGAGATTGCATTCAGTCTTTCCATTTGGACCTGACACTCAATTTTGCAAGCTCTACCACTTGACATTCTGTATATAAGAAATGGTGATGTAAGCAATATTTAAGAGCATTCATGTCCAATCCTAAAGGCACTGGAAGTTGTACTATACTATGTTGTATTGGGCTCTCCCAACCCTGATGAAACCAAATCTCTGCTTAGGAAGTATGTTTGAGCCAGGTGGTAGTGGCACATGCCTTTAATCCCAGCACTTAGGAGGCAGAGGAAGGCAGATATTCGTGAGTTTGAGGCCAGCCAGGAGAGGCTCCAAAGCTACACGGAATCCAAAAACCAAAAAATAAAATAAAATAAAATAAAATCTCAAATCCCCCCCCCAAGAAGAAGTATGTTTGC